CTGGAACCACTTGGCGATGGAGTCCGTATGGAAGGCCGAATTCTGCTGAGCCGAACAGTTCTCTTTGCTGACGTTCTCATCCACCCCAATAGTGCCAAGATTCCCCTTGACGCCGCACAGGTAGGCTGTGGCACTGGCGGCACTGTCTGCTACCTGGCTGTCTGTCGTGTACGTCTGGAAAAGTCATAGAAAAAAAGGGGAGGGTGAGGTGTTTGTGTCGTTCTGTGAGGGAAGGGAAAGGGAAGTAAGGAATAATGAAGAGAAAATGAATGTAAAGAAAGGGAAGGGGAAGTAAGGAATAATGAAGAGAAAATAAATGTGCTAGACACGGGAGAGGAAAAAAATCTGATAAAACGTAGATAAAAAGGGAGGGTGAGGAGGAAAGGGAAAGGGAAGTAAATAATAATGAAGAGAAAATGAATGTGTTAAACAAGGGAGAGGAAAAAGAAATCTGATAAAACATAGAAAAAGAGGGAGGGTGAGGAGGGAAGGGAAAGGAAAGTAAGGAATAATGACGATAAAATAAATATGTTAGACAAAGGAAAGGAAAAAAAAAAAAAAAAAAAAAAAATCTGAAAAATCATAGAAAAAAGGGAGGATGAGGAATTTGTGTCATTCGGTGAAGGAAGGGAAAGGGAAGTAAGTAATAATGACAAGAAAATAAATGTGTTAAATAAGGGGAAGGAAGAAATCTGATAAAACATAGAAAAAGAGGGAGGGTGAGGAGGGAAAGGAAAGGGAAGTAAGGAATAATAACGATAAAATAAATGTGATAGACGAGGAAGAGGAAATGAATCTAAAAAATCACAGAAAAAAGGGAGGGTGAGGTGTTTGTGTCGTTCTGTAAAGAAAGGGAAAGGAAAGTAAGGAATAATAACGATAAAATAAAAGTAATAGACGAGGGAGAGGAAAAAAATCTGAAAAATCATAGAAAAAAGGGAGGGAAAGGGAAGTAAGGAATAATGAAGAGAAAATAAATGTGCTAGACACGGGAGAGGAAAAAAATGGAAAAAAATCATAGAAAAAGGGAGGGTGAGGTATTTGTGTCGTTCTGCGAAGGAAGGGAAAGGGAAGTAAGGAATAATAACGATAAAATAAATATTCTAGACAAGGAAGAGGAAATAAATCTAAAAAATCACAGAAAAAAGGGAGGGAAAGGGAAGTAAATAATAATGAAGAGAAAATAAATGTGCTAGACACCGGAGAGGGAAAAAAATGGAAAATATCATAGAAAAAAAGGAGGGTGAGGTATTTGTGTCGTTCTGCGAAGGAAGGGAAAGGGAAGTAAGGAATAATAACGATAAAATAAATGTGATAGACGAGGGAGAGGAAAAAACATCTGATAAAACATAGAAAAAGAGGGAGGGTGAGGAGGGAAAGGAAAGGGAAGTAAGGAATAATGAAGAGTAAATAAATGTGCTAGACACGGGAGAGGAAAAACATCTGATAAAACATAGATAAAAAGGGAGGGTGAGGAATTTGTGTCGTTCTGTGAAGGAAAGGGAAAGGAAAGTAAATAATAATGAAGAGAAAATAAATATGATAAACAAGGGAAAGGAAAAAAAACACAGAAAAATCATAGAAAAAAAAGGTATTTGTGTCGTTCTGTGAAGGAAAGGGAAAGGAAAGTAAATAATAATGAAGAGAAAATAAATGTTAGACAAGTGAAAGAAAAAGGAGAGTTTAAATGCGTTTAGAAAGGAATGTTGTATGTTGTTGAATAAATAATGTATGTTGTTGAATATATGATATAAATTAATATAATGCATAAAAATGGGTTTGGAAAGGAAATGATTTATATTGTTGAATAAATGATGTATGTTTTTGAATATGATATAAATTAGTATGAAATTAATATAATGTATGAAAATGGATTTGGAAAGAAATGATGTGTTGTTGAATATAAAATATAAATTAGTATGAGGTATAAAAAAGGAATGGAAAGGAATGTTGCATGTTGGTTGATATATGATATATGAAAAGAGGAAAAAGGGAAAAGAGAAAGGTAGAGAAGGAGGAGAAGACGAATAAAAGGAAGAAGAAAAGAAGAAGAAGAAGAAGGAGAAGACAGTGAAGATAAAGAGGAAAAAAAAGAAAAAGAAGACGAAGAAATAATAAGACAAAGAAGAAAAAGGAGAAGAAGTCGAAGATGACGAAGAAAAAAAGCAAAGAAGAAGAAAAAAAGGAGAAGAAGAAGAAGACAATACGAACACAAAGAAGAAAAAGGAGAAGAAGAAGAAGACGAAAGAGACGACGATGAAAAAGAAGAAAACAAAGAAAAAAAAGGAGGATGAGAAGAAAAAAGACAAAAAAAAATATATATATATAGAAGACACCGAAAAAAACAAAACAAAAAACAACAACAACACAATCCCCACTTCCTACCCCCACCCCCCCTTGGAATCTTCCTCTTTTTTTCTCAACACCGACAAAGGCACCGGAGAAGGAGGTGCCATCACCCACGGCAGAGTTTTTTCGGGTCAATGTCGCACGAACAGGCATCCGATCCGCCATTTTTTCGTCGGTCACGAACGCGCTGAGGAGGACGGTGGCCGAGGCGCTGTGAAGGGGGGGGGGGAAGGGGGGGGAGGATAGGGGGGGGGAGGATAGGGGGCAAGGGGAGAATAGGGGGAAGAGAGAAGGGGGGATAGGGGGGGAAAGGGAGGAGAGGACAGGGGGGGGGACAGGGGGGGGGGGGGGGAGGATAGGGGGGGGAGAGGGGAGTTAGGGGGAGGATAGGGGATAGGGGTAGGGGAAGGAAGGATAGGGGGGGGGAGGATAGGGGGCGGGAAGGGGGGATAGGGAGGATAGGGCAAGGGAGGGTAGGGGGCAAGGGGAGGATATGGGGGGGGGGGGATAGGGGGAGGGGAAGGGGGATAGGGGTAGGGGAAGGGGGATAGGGGGGAAGGGGAGAGGATAGGGGGGCAAGGGGGAGGATAGGGGGTGGAAAGGCGGATAGGGGGAAGAGGGAAGGGGGGAAGGAGGATGAAGGGGGATAAGGGGGGGGGGATAGGGGAAGGAGGGGGGGGAAGGGAGGATAGGGGAAGGAGGAAGGATAAAGGGGGGGGAAGGAGGAAGGGGAAGGGCGGATAGGGGGTGGGGTGGGGGAAGGCGGATAGGGGGATAGGGGAAGGGGGGGATAGGAGGGGGGAAGGAGAAAAGGGGGGAATGGGGAAGGGAAGATGAGTACCGAGAGGGAGGGAGGAGGGGAGGAAATCCTAGGCCACCCGCAGGAATCGTGGAGAGAGGGCGATAGGCTAGGGCGGCTCGAGGGAGGTGCTGAGGATGCCCTTCTGGCTTAGCACTTTCATGAACCGGGTCAACCGTAAGCGCCATGTTTGAAATTCGCTTTAGACACATGGTCCCTCGAAATTCGTTAATCTTTGCAGTGGTTGATCGTTATAATGTATGGGTGCTCCGCGCGTGTGTATATAAATAAACATATCTATCATATAATATATATATATAATTATATATATATATATATATATATATATATATATATATATATATATATATATATATATATATAATATATATAGCAGGATAGATATTGAGAGAGAGAGAGAGAGAGAGAGAGAGAAGAGAGAGAGAGAGATAGAGAGAGAGAGAGAGAGAGAGAGAGAGAGAGAGAGAGAGAGAAAAGTGAGAAGCAGTGAGGCAGATAGATAGATATAGAGAGAAGTAGAGAGAGAGATGAGAGAGTGAGAGAGAGAGAGAGAGAGGAGAGAGAGAGAGAGAGAGAGAGAGAGAGAGAGAGAGAGAGAGAGAGAGAGAGAAGGAGAGAGAGAAGAGAGAGAGAGAGAGAGGAGAGAAGAGAGAGGTGAGAGAGAGAGAGAGAGAGAGTGAGAGAGATGCTTTAAAAATAAAATAATCACTATTAAAAAATTATAATACCAAAGGTACTCTCAAATATCTTTCTTAGAAATACATCTCCCGCCATTAACTTAATCAAGTTCCGATTAAAATATACTTGTTGAGACATAAATTTTTTATATATATGTTAATACCCACGGCACGGTCAGATTTCACTGATATGTCTCTTGAAAGGTCAAGATGGATTTAAACTGAGAATAAAATCTTGGAATTCCATTTGCATAAGCAGTGAAACTCATTCTGTACGGGTTGCGCAATCGACATTTGTCCTTTAGTACGAGTTACGTAATCGAGATTTGTCACAGGAAGATTAATTTGATCTGCCATATACTCTGCGGCACGAAGGTTATATTAATGTCACTTAGGAAAAAAAGAAAAGGTAAAAAACAACAACAGGAAAGTAAATAGTGGACTGTTAAGGTCGACGTTTAACCTTATATAGGATCGTGACGCTTAAAACCCCGCCAACATCCGGGTCTTGATGAGGCCGAGGAACCACACAGAGAGATGGCGAATATAAATTCTAATTCCATTTTTAGCATTAGCAATTATCATTCAAATCAAATTAGGAATGTATTGTTACGTAATAAAATAGCATTCTTAAGATTAACAATGCATGGACATAATCAGAATCTAGAAAATGGAAATAAAAGCGAATAAGCTACAATACATTTTTAAAAGAATCAGTACGATCGTTTTTTTTGAGAGAGAGAGACACCGAAGACAAACTAAACTTGAAAACTTCATAAAACCGAAATAAACTACATTTATCCGAAAGATCTTACCATAAAACGCTAACTACAAAATAAAACATCACCAAACGCAACTATAAACACGTAATCAAGTGGCGCCAGAATTCAAAATAATTAACCTTTTATCTCGAGAAAAAAATTAAAATAAAAACAATAATAAAATTCTTGCAACAATACAAGAAAATAATTGCGAATTATTATGAAACTAGGAATTTACTTGACGGAATCTGCCTCTAAATTGAAAAACGTGTTTATGTTTATTGATGGCAAACGGAATAGTTTTATGGACGGTTAAAAGACAGAAAACAAGTCATATATATTTTTTCTCTTACATGGCGGCGTGTAAAACCTACCCGTTTGTGTATTTGTTAA